TTATTATTATTATTATTATTATTATTATTATTATTATTATTATTATTGTAGCTGAGAGTTTTCACAGCCTTGCACTGACATCCATAAGGTGTGTGAGTTATTGCATCTTGTTCTTGTCTGCACTACTCCTCCATAACATTTCCCCCACTTGTCTAATAAAAAATACCTCCCTCTTTTGTCACCAATACAATTATGATTCTCCGGGCTGGAGCAGAACATCTGTGGGTGTTCTGGTACCAGAAAGTTAGTGGAAACAAAAAACACATTTTCTTATTGTGGAATGTGGGGTGTGTTTATGTGGATGAGAGGCATTTATTTTATAGGCAATCATACCTTTTCTTCTTTGTAATTTGGTTGAAACAACACTAAAACATTACACCTTGTCTTTATTGCATTAAAATTCAAGTCCTTTTTTGCTCAGAGGGTTGTACAGTATGTGTCTGCCAAAGGGGGTACTGCTGCTTTTGCATAGTGCAGTTGCAATGCTGGGACTGCAACTGGTCTGCAAAAGCGTAAAGTAGGGCATCAGTGTCAAAATAACATGCTAGGATGCAAAGCTTTATTTTTTTCGCAGGAGAACAATACTGTTGTAACAAGGTGAGCTAACTTTACCACTGAAGGGTTATAATGTTATGGCTCATCACTATATGGAATCACTGAAATAATTAAGCTGTTTACTAAGTAGGGGTTGAAGACTACACATTTTTTTAAGTCAACTTTAACATGATAACAGTCGAGTAGACGTCGACTAGTCGATGACGTCATAGGAACTCGACGCTGTATCATATTCGGAAATAACAGTAAATAAACATCATTTATTATTTACAAAAAAAAAAAAAAAAATCATTGGTTATATATTTATTCTCCTACCATTTATCTTACAGCAAATAAGTCACAGGAAAACCAAAACTGTTATTAAGCTACAAAAGTGAAAGAAATGTGTGGCACGTAATAAACAAAACTAAGAACAGTGCTGTTCTTAGTTTTATTTTATTTAATCCACCACCATGGATTGGGTGGAATGGAACTGAGGGCAGCGGGGCTGGCGGTGGAGGAGCACCTTTTTATAATATTATAGTTATTAATGGTCATCGGCCATGCACATCCGCTGACACAGTAGCTGGGTCTATTTGGGGGAGTGGTGGCACAGAGGTTGGAGAAGGTGGGCCTGTGATCAGAAGATCGCCGGTCCAAGCCCCGGTACCGACAACATCAAAAATGTGGGTGAGATAGGTGAAGTACCCACACATGCCCCCACCCTCATTCGCCTCACTCTGGGCCCATGAGCAAGGCCCTTAACCCCCATCTGCTGCCTAAACAGGTCTCTCTTGAAAATGAGTTCTCGTGGCTCAATGAGACTACCTGGATAAATAAAGGTAAATTAAATTTAAGCTGCAGGTGGGTCGCTGGCAGTCATCCAGCTGGACTTTTTTGTACCTTTTTCAACTGGTCGGGCTTGGCCACATGTCCGCTGACACGGCAGCTGGTAAGCTTCAGGTGGGTTGCTGGCAGACATCCATCTGAACTTTTTTGTACGTTTTTTTTAACCGGCCTGTCAGCGCAGCTGGTGGTGATCCAAATTGTATTGTCAGCCGCGCATGTCCGCTTACGCAATCAAAAAACCAACACCAATTCATCCTGCCCATCCAGCACATTATTTTGGTTCGGGCTGGGCGTGGCCATGTTAGAATATAAATAACAGCTCTACATATAAAATGCTGTAACGTGTAGAGAAGTGTGCTTATAGAACAGCAAATACAAGTTTGTTATGCAGTGTTTTTCATCGGGGCGGCTGGGGCTGAGTGGTTAGAGTTGTCCTCCAATGCAAGAGTTGGGGGTTTGATTCCATTAGCAGTCACATGCCGAAGTGTCCCTAGGCAAGGCACTGAACCCCTCATTGCCTCCGATGTGTGTCCCATCGGTGAATGAATGTGATAAAGCACTGTTTAATCTTTGTATGGATCAAGTAGTGCTCTATGAATGGGTAAATGAGGGCACAGATTGTACTGTAAAGCGCTTTGAGTATCTTGATACAATAGAAAGGTGTTATACAAGTACAGTCCATTTACCATTTACCATTGTTGAGGCTCAGCTACATCAAATCCACCATGGGATTCAAGTATCTTTGTAGGTATTTCTAGGTCATTTTCATCAGTAATCCTTCTAGTAATTGATAACCGATGAGTATAGGATCATAACACCGTCTAAATGTTGCAATCTGACGGCTACATGTTCCAAAATTTGATTAATCTTTCTATATATTTAGGCACGTCTGTCTGTGTGTCTAACTGGGAATTCTCCACTAAAGGTGTAAAAACCTGAAGGGGCAAAGTGAGCTGAACAGTATCAAACAAATATGTTAAAGTATTAGTATGTCAGCGATGACATTAGTTTTTTCCGGACATGGCTGAAGTTCACCAAGAAAATTGGAAAATGTAATATATTTCATCATTAATCAAAAATCTTCCCCAATCAAAAATTGTTTGAAAAATGTCTTGTTTTGTACATTTCTCATTCCTTTTTCCCCTTCTCCGTCCTCACCACTCCTATCTTTTCCCCCTCTCTCAATTAAACCTCCCACCATTCTCTCTTCTCCTTTGCCAAACGTATTTCTCTTTGGTCTTAGATGAAACGAAAAGTGTGGTTAAATAATTCCTGATCAGAGTTTTGAGCGTTGTGCTGTTCCACATAGCTTCGAGTGCAGAACATATAGGTGTCCCTTTCTATTCTTCACCCTGCGTCACATATTGAAATCCCACTGTGCTGCATAATGCATCACTGAATTCAAATGATTCATTTTTAGTAAGTAGATTGAGAGGTTTTTGATACAACAGTGGGCGGAAGTATCCTCCAAAACATAACTACCGTATAGCAGGAAAGTATGCTGACGAATACAGGGTATTGTTGAAGTTGATATTATCTTAATTTCTTTTCAGCAATATCCATTCATAAAGGTTTTATTTCATTCTTGGTGATGTCAGTTTTTTATTACTCATATTCGTAACTCTTGTATTAGATGACAATGAAGTGACCGTCTTTCCAAGAGAAAAGTTACAGTACCAAGTTTCCCAACAGGATATACCTTGTTCCAAAAGTTTGATAAGAATACCAGAAAATTACTACTGCCTCCATTTAGGGGGACAAGGATAATCCTTCAAAAAGTCACATTGTCAGAATCAGAATCAGAATCAGTTTATTATTGCCATGTCAATGAACGAGGTTCACAAACTAGGAATTTGCTTCGACATAAGGTGCGAATAGTAGTAAAGTAAAATAAAGTAAAAATAAAGTAAAAATGAAGTAAAAATGAGAACATTACATAAGACATAAGACCTGTGTACACCCACAAATAAAGTAAAATTAAAAACATAACATAACCATATGTACACCCATACAATAGAAATCAATAAAAAAGCTTAGAAAACAGTACAGATGGAGTATTCAATTATAATACAGATGTAATGTGACCAAAGCAGAGATTATGAGGTAGCATTATAAGTGTTCAGGAGTCCAACAGCAGAGGGGAAGAAACTGTTCTTATGGCCGGAGGTTCTGGTCCGAATGGACCGAAGCCTCATGCCTGAGGGGAGTGGTTCAAACAGTCCGTGTGCAGGGTGTAGGTGAGCTAGTACCTTTAGAAATTTTAGGGTGGAGCTTAAAGCACTAAATAGTTCTATGTGGACTAATAATTGTGATTTGTTAAGTTTTTTTTTTATGTAAACTTGTATAAAACATTTTCAGTTGTTAACCGCTGTTGAAGTGGGAAGTGTCCCTTTCTTTTAATGGTATATAAACGTTTTGGATTTTAGACGTACTGAACTAAAAACAAAGCAAAACCATTTTGCTCTGAAACTCACAAACTCAAAAAAAATCATCAAAATTAAAGGTGGGTTTGTGTGGAAAGGTTATAAGTAATTAGACTCGATGCAGTTAGCATAGCATCATGGACTTTGGTTGAGAAACTTGCAAACATATAAATAATGATTACATATAAAAGTGGCATAGAGTGAAACAAAATAGGTTATTCTTAAGGTTTTGACCTTTTAAATAAAATAAAAAAATCACTGTTAAATGAGTCCTGCTCTGATTAGCGATTTGTCTAACTATCTTTAATCTCTGTCTGCTGCAGGTAAGCTACTGACTGCTCAACAGTACTCAACACAATTGTTCCTAAAAATAAACTGTACCCTTAACAGAATGGACTTTAAAATTTAGACAAACAACATTCCACCCTCTTAATACATATATTTGTATTATTTTGTACTGGAATAGGTAAATACATTTGAATAAAGTGTGCTAAGATAAACTTTCCTTGTAACGTTGTTTCTACTTGTATGGAAACTCAAAAGCAGATATCACTTTTAAACCTGACTAAAAATATGCAGCTTTAAATTGACACATGTTGTGTAATTTGATTGTGTCTCATTTTGTAGGTGATCCAGATCAACTTTGAGGAGTTTGACCTCGAAATCGCCTATGACACCCTAACGATAGGTGACGGAGGAGAGGTGGGAGATCCTACAACGATTCTACAAGTGTAAGTAATGTTTTGTTTTCACCATAATTCTGTTAATTAAGACAGAACTGAGACGAGCCTTTCACTCCAGGTATTTCTGTAGGATTCATAAACAGATGTGGGAACTTTATTTTGTAATATTTCTTCATTAATGACAGTGTGATTGGTGGTAATTTCCAGATTCAACTAGTTTTTCTCAGAGAATATGTTTCAAGATAAATAAAGAATTATAACTGATCTGTAGCAGATTGTTGGCTGCACTGTGATGCACTTTCACATGGACCAGCTGTCCATCCATGATAAGCAGCATTGTTGCAGTCAATCAAAGCCTTCTATCACATGTTGAAGTGCTCAGAGCAAAAGCAACACTTTTATTTTTGCTTGTGTTATTCTCGTTCTTTTATATAAACATTGGGCACTTCAGAATCCTTCACATACTTTGTCCAACCAAGTCGAATTTTAAAACAGCAGCCTGCATCACACGAGGCTGCTTTTTTAAAGACAAACTATTCTTAACTTTAGAAAAATGCTTTGAAGAGCCTAAAAAAAAACAAGCAGATGCTGACCTTTTACAAAGGGATTTTTTTCTTCAGTTTGTAGATATTTTTTTGTTTGTTTGTCTTTTAGTTTTAGTGTGTAAATAGAATTGGACGTTTTTTTTTTTTTAAAAAGAACACAAAAAGTAAATGTGCATGTGCCTTTTGGAGGTAGCCTCATATGAAGCGTCCAGACTTCAGTTCTATCAATGTGTTCAAACTCAGAGACGCACTGATTACAACCATGACTGCAGTGATAAAATTATATATATATAAATATGTTTTGTAATGTTAATTATTATTGCATTGATTTAAGACTTTTGCATTTTGTGCTCCAGCCTATCAGGTAGCTTTGTGCCTGACCTGATTGTCAGCATGACCCACCAGATGTGGCTGCACCTACAGTCGGACGAGAGCGTTGGATCCATAGGCTTTAAGATCAACTATAAAGGTAAGAAATGAAAAGGGTGAAGAAAGTGGGGACATGGAATTCTTGTTATAGGATGGGAAAATGTACAAAGCAGATGAATTGTGGACATTTTAAGGTAAATCCAACAAAGTTAAGTCAGGTCCTCTGGATGTTTTTTTTGTGTTGAAACATTTTGTCCTTCATCCAAAGGACTTCATCAGTCCAAGGAGCCACAACAAGCTCATTTTTATAAATAGCAACTTCACATAGTGGGTCAACCAGTTTGATGGTGCTCAGATGGTTTCTGGAGTCCGCCCTCTTCCCCCGCCGACTCGATTGAGGCAGTTACAGCCAAAGTGGTTCAAACTTCAAAGTTCATGCTCAATAATCCAGGTATCCAACAATGTTCATTCAGGTCATCTGAATTTTTTCTTTACATTTTTTTTTTTTTTGTCAGAGTTAAGTCAGGACCTGACATACTGGTAACTTTGCTAGATTTTTCTACCTGCATTATTGAGCATGAACTCTGATATTTTAGTGTACAGTGTTAGCTAACAGACAGCTGTAGCTTTTAGTGCAGCCTTGGGGCACTTCCAGCATGAATATCATATCTAAGGATAAACATGTATTTTGAAACAGACATGGGTGTAAAAGGTTATAAAACCGTTTTTGCTTAAATTGATTGGAAATATTTTAAATTAAAGTTGTTTTAAAATGGAAACAATCTACTTTGCTCTTGGTCCCTGTGTGGAAAGCTGTTAGCTTGTTGTTTTAGTCAGAAATTACAGTAAATCTACTGTATATCTAAAGCAGGTAAGATGTTTTTTTGTTTGGAATTATTCTATAGAACCCACTTTGAAATATATGAGCTTTCATTCTAAATTTAAAATTTATTGGGTTATTTTTTTATTGTTCAATTTGACAAGTTTCTTGTGGGGAGTGGTGGCACAGAGGTTATAGAAGGTGGGCTTGTGGTGGTCGACAGTTCAACTTCCTGTACAGACAACATCCAAATGTGGGTGGGAAAGGTGAAACACCCACACCTGCATCCACCCTTGTTTGCTCCACTCTGGGCTCTTGAGCAAGGCCCTTAACCCCCAACATCTGCTCCCCCAGGTGCCCTAGATAGCAGCTCTCTGCTCCCCACAGAGGGCTGTGGTAGCTTGGTAGTCAGTCTGTGGTTGCATCAGGAAGGGCATCCAGCATGGAAAAAAAAAACCAACAACAATTATTATTATTATTATTTTAATAATACAGGTTGGCAGCTCGTATGATCCTCCACGGTAACTCCGCTCGCTCGAATTTTGTCGTCAATCAACAAACACAAAAAACACCTGGACTTCAGCATTAAACACGGTGTTGTCATTATTGTTTTTTAACATCTTAAAAAATTAGATCCAGCCGCTGCTCCGAGTTCCGAGAAATTGCAAATGGCGGATCGGTGAAAAGTTTCTGAGATCCAGTGACTCCTCCCCCTGACCAATCAGTGTCCTGCATTCATGTTTCGGTCCGGAGTCAGCTCGACTCGGCTCCATCGATCCCACCATAGAAGCAGGGACAAATAAAGGTCCCGAATCAGCCTCAAATCAGTTAAAAAGTACTGTGAATAGCAATTTTTTTCCATGGAGGGCTGAGTAGAGTTGGGGCAGAATAGGAGCAATGAAAAAAAATTGACAAGTTTCTTTAGCTGAAACAGTTTGACACAAGTACAAAAATATAAATGCCGTGTGAAGATTGATGTCTAACTAAAAACAAAGCAAAAAAATAATCATTAAATGGAACAATAGCATATTTAATCAAACAAGAAATTTGCGAGTATTAGATTTGTTAGATCATTGTCACATTATAAAAATAAACACTCAACTCCCCACACCTGACCTTCATCCTGGTATCGGTTAAGAACAAAGTGTTTGTTCTGTTCTATCAATTGAGCTGCTGGCATACTTAAAATATTAACCTTTCCACATTCTGCTGTTTGATAGATGTAGTCTTTATTTGATCACATTTCACGAAACACGGTGGAGAGCTTTGCCGCACAGATTAACTTTGCGTGCCTCATTTACGTGTCATCATCCGTGGATTTATTGTCATAATGAGGTCAGCATGCTGCGGCTGGTAACTCGATGAGCTCCAAACGTGCTGTGACAGTAACATACTGTACTGCCCTTTACCGTTCTTGACATTAGGTGTTCTAGCGATGGAGTGTTGGCACAGTGATTAGTAGAAATAATCTCAAAATTGTTCAGAATGGTTTGTATTATTGCCGTTCTTTTATTTTAATAAGAAACGTGCCAGACTTTATATTGAAATTAATTAGGAACATCTGATTAGATGCTCCATGATCTTTGCTCGTATTCTAATTATTTGCTTTTCTTTGTTTATCCCATAGAGTTGTGCAAAAATTAATTTGGAGAAACATCACTGCCACGCATGCCCGCTTGTCCTGCTTATCTTCTGCTGAAGGCGAAAGGCAAAGCATTTGTGCATTTGTCTATGGCGTTAGCAAAATATCTCGTGAACCAATGCAAGGTTTTTAATGAATCTCTCAGAAAGTAATCATTTGATAACTATCTAACCGATTAGCATTCAAAGTCGGCTCCATTCAAGACGGTTTCCACGGTTAAACAAACTCATCCAACACAGATGTGGCTAGAAGTTGAAACATTTTACAGATACTGAGCTAAAAGTTGTGCTGGTGTTAGTTAAGTTATCCCCAGCAGCTACTCCGGGCACTAACTGATCGTGCAAGGTCTATTTTTAAAACTTTCTCAATACCTATTTGAGTGAACAGTGTTTGTTTGCTAGCAAAACATCTAATGTGCACATATTTTATTGAAATTCTCAATAAGTAATTTAAGGATGTACATCTTTTTTTACATGGTATGTAAATCTGTTAATTTTACAAATATTAACCTAAAATTTGGTGGTAGTGGGCGGTACATAGAGTTGCATCCGGGTCCAAAAGATCCGACCCGACCTGACCCAGCCCGTAGCCATCATTTCCAAACCCCATCCGATCCATTGAATTAACAGTAATTACAGGTCCGAACCCGAAAACTCCCCGATATTTTTAATTAAGCTTTGACAGCTTATATAGTTATTAACGGTCGGCGGACATGCGCGGCTGAGTAAAGGGGGCAGAAGATTAGGGCTGAGGGGGTGTTTGTCCTTTCATGGCCGTCAAAGCATATTAAATTATTCCCCTGCTTATGCCTGCATTCTGCATTATTCAGACACGGACCCTGCTCTGACATGTCAGATATTTTGGATATATATATATTTTCAGCTCACCTGTTTGGGTCGTCTGAATGAACATCCATTTGGGATGATGGATCACAGGCAATAGTCCATCTGAAGCTTAACTGAACTTTTTACCTCTTTCAAGGCTGGTCAGCACGCGTTGAAATGGCCACGTGCAGCAGGTGATAGTATGGCAAGCTATGTTTCCATATAATTAGATAGTTAGCCGCGCATGTCTGCTGACAATTAAAAACCTTAAACCGACCCGGCCCACACATTAAGACCATTATTATGGACCGGCCCGACCCTAATCTGGGTCGGGCGGGGTCGATCTCTGAGTTCTATTGAGATCTGACAATATTACATGGGATTGTGCATGACATAATTTACAAGGTTTGACCCAAACGGTTATAATTCCTTTCATTCCTGTCATATTTTTGTTTTTTAATCTATTTTTTTTATTTTTTTTTTACCTTCATTTATACAGGTAGTCTCATAGAGTCACTAGAACTTATTTTCAAGAGATACTTATTTGGGAGCAGATGGTGAGGGTTAAAGCCTTGCTCAAGGGCCCAGAGTGGGACAAATGAGGGAAGAGGCTGTTGTGGGTGTGTCACCTTTTTCACCCACATTTTGATGTTGTCAGCACATGGAGTCAAACCAGCGACCTTCTGATCACAGGCCCACCTTCTTTAACCTCTACGCCACCACTCCCTTACGCAGTACAAGTACATATGCAATCCTTCAAGGAATTCTATGCCTTTACTTCTGAATATTTTGGCTCCAGAGCTCATGAAGGTTAAATTGAAACATTTTTTCATTAGGTAACTTTTATTTGGCAAAAATGTTTTCCGGATTAGGGCAGCAGATAGAGCTGCTGCCTCTCAGCGCGCAGGTCCCTGTTTCAAATCCCAGTACGAGGGCCTTTCTGGGTGGAGTTTGCATGTTCTCTCCGTGCATGCATAGGTTTTCTCCAGGTACTCCGGTTTCCTCCCACAGACCAAAAACATGCATGTTAGGCTGATTGGTAACTCTAAATTGTCCCTAGGTGTGAGTGAGAGAGTGAATGGTTGTTTGTCTCATTTGTCTCTGTGTCCCTGTGATGGACTGGAGACCTGTCCAGGGTGTACCCCGCCCCTCGCACAGTGATTGCAGGACACGGACACCGGCGACCCCCGTGACCCAAAATGGAAGAAGTGGGTAAAAGATAATGGATGGATGGATTTCCAGGTTAAATTCAAAGTTAAAGAGCCTTTTAGTATTAGGTATTTAAGTGCTTAAGGCAACTAATAATGCTGATTTAAGGCATATGCTGCGTCAGATTGTTATGTTAACGCATCTTTGCAGTCAAAAAGTTCTAAGGATTTTTTTTTTTTTTTTGCTTAGGACAAGTTAACTAACATAAAACCTTTTTGGCAGTGAGGATTTAATTGGTAAGACGATCAAAATGTTCTTATTACTGTAAATCAATCAAACTAGTAACATTGCAAATATAGGCTCATTTACTATGATAGAATTAGCTTCTTATTCTTTTCCAAGTCATTTGTCATTACTTAATTCAGCTAAGATCATTGTGGCCGGTCAGATGATTAAAATGGCCATTCAAATTGCAACCTATTACACTAACTAGCAGTTCCATTTATTACTCATCATTTAAATGTAGTCCCCTCCTTAATCTGTAGTCACCCACACTGAGTCAGAGCACAGCAGGCAGCGGGGCTGAAAGCAAAGAAGCTTTCAAATTGAGCAGGAGGAAGCATCAAGTCTGGGAAGTAACGAGACTAACGCCTGGTGTGGCAGCT